CTCCTCTTCCTCCTCCCCTCTTTCCTGCCGTGAGAGAATAGTTTCTTTGCAGACTGATCTATTCCCAGATCAAATTGCCCATGCTGCTTCATAGCAGTGTGTTCTGAAGCAGCCAGGAGGGCAACCTGGGGATAGGGAGTGGTACTGAAAAGAGGTTCTTGTGATTACATGACTTTAGACCGCTACAGTAAATGCCCAGCCTGCTGTTAGGCAAGTCTCAAAGGTAGAGATGTGGTAAGAGCTGGATTTTGCTCTTGGGATGTGTTTTGTTCTTTGTGGCTGCTCTTGTTTCGTCTAAGTCCAACATGAATATTCCTGGGAGGTTTAATAATTACTTGTCTCAAGTCCTTAAGGATTATTGTATTTCTACTTTTAAAAATACCTGCCTTGCAAAGGGATTTTTGGTGGTGGTGTTTTTTTTTTTTTTTTCTCATTGGTCTTTTTTTCACAAGCCTCTCTGCAAGCTGGTGGTAGCTAGGCAAGGTAATATGCTGAGTCCTAGGCAGCTATCGATCCCAGTTTCTGTTAGACATTCAAATGAACAAGGGTTTTGCAACCTGAAAGCAGAGTACTCTATATTTTGGATAAAATCCACTTCCCTCAGCAGGCCTTGCAGGTGATATATTTAGTGTTGCTTCTGATTTGTCTGTAGGATCTTCCTCGTTTCCAGCAGCTTCCTTGTTTTCAGCACGTGTAGGTTGTAGCTGAACTGTGCTGATATGTATGAACTGTGGGAGGGAGAGTGAGGATGGCTTTTCTTTTTCCACTGCAGGCTGTGGATTGTAAACTTATCAGTGTGTTTTGGGCAATTATAGGTGCTCTGGGATAAAGATGTGGGAGGGAGGGACATCCCTGGATCATGGCTGAGGTATTATCATTCCCCTCCCCGTGCTGAGAGCTCTTGAACTTGCAGGTTGCCATTGCCGGAGCACCCGTCACGCTGTGGATTTTCTATGACACTGGTTACACAGAGCGTTACATGGGCCACCCGGATCACAACGAGCAGGGGTATTACCTAGGTTCGGTGGCCATGCAAGCTGAGAAGTTTCCTTCTGAGTAAGTTTGGTTCTGGCTCTTGCCTTCTGCTCTTCCTACCAGGAAAGTTCAAGCCCCATGGACACATTTTTATCTCCCTATTTTTGGCAATTGAATCTTGGAATTAGAAATGCTAGTATTAAATAATAATTTAAAAAAAAAAAAAAAAGACCAAACCCCAACACTAATAAACTTCGACTTGAATGTACATTTGCATAATTACAGGCTGTTCCATGTAATCCCTTTTATCCTAGCTGTAATTAAAGACTATCTTTTATGTCTAAAGAAATGACAAACATATCTTCAATTACATGATTAGCACTCTAGAGCCACATTAAGCTAGACAAAAATTAGTTGATCAGGATGCTTTCTGCATGCTCTGAGGCTGTATCAGCACGGAGTTGCCAAAGAGCTGAAAATCAGCAGTGATTCTGAGCAAATGTTAAGCCATTGTATTGTCCAAGTTAGGAAATACTTCTGAGAATAACGAAGATATACAGATGAAAGGTCTGACCGTGATGTGCATATGCAGGAAGAACTTTTAGAGGAGGAAATAATAGGTTTGGGACATACGTCCATCCAAGAGCAATTTACAATAGTGAAATCACTGTCTTCAGTGCAAATATTTTTTTTCTGTTGGGTGTTTTTGAAGGGATGTGTGTAGACTCTGAAATGACTGCCAGATTCTGGGATGCTGTCTAGAAATGTTTGTCTCTTGCTTTTCTCAGACCAAACCGTTTGCTGCTGCTACATGGATTCTTGGATGAGAATGTTCACTTTGCACACACTAGTATTTTGCTCAGCTTTTTAGTCAGAGCTGGGAAACCGTATGACTTACAGGTAAGGCCAGAACCAAGATGTGATGGTAATGTGTTCTGAGGAGTCCAAAATTGGAACTTGTAACGTGGCTATGCTGGGCAGCTTGGAGTTCTAGGATAAAACTGTAGTATTTGAGCCTAGCATTTCTTTAAAAGGAAGATTTTATGAGTAAGCAAAAAAAAATATTAGGCAAATGAGCAGTTAAGGCTGCTCCCAAGGAGATCTGCAGTTTGGAGGCAGTACAGCAGTGTTCATTCAGTGTGGAACAAGCTCATGCATTTAATTAAACCCTGCTGGTTCTGTGCAGGTGTAGCCCAGCTATCCCACACCGTGCTGCAGACCTGGGAACATGCTGATTTATGTGATGGCTCAGTTCGGGCAGGCTGATCACCTCCAGCACGGCAGGAGCTGGATTAGAGTGCAATGGGTTGTCTCTGGGCTCTGGCAGCGGAGGATGGGGTGTATTAGTTCAAATGCAGAGATAACGCAGGGAGATTACACGAATATTTTTGAATGTGATTCTGGCAACCGGTTTAAATGTTGGTGCCCACAACTTTTGTGGATATTTATGACTTTATTTTATATTTTAGATCTACCCTCAGGAGAGACACAGTATAAGGGTACCCGAGTCGGGAGAGCACTATGAACTCCATCTACTGTATTACCTGCAAGAGAATCTGGGCTCTCGTATTGCTGCCCTGAAGGCAATGTAACTGACCTCTGCAGAACTCTGCTGGCTGCTTTACCGAACGAGGAGATATAGGAAACTAGAGAAAATAGGATGGAACATTGCATTTTGGTGCCTGCCACACGTACACGCACGCGTACACACACACACATACACAGAGACACTTTTTTTAAAAGTAAATTTGGTGCCATACAGGAAATTAAAGTACGGTGACCTAATAACTTTAAAGCTTAAGCTGTAAATAAAATCAAATGGCTGTGGTATAATGCAGTACCATGGGTGTTCTCTTGGGGGAGGAGCTGAAACTGAAAATAACGTACTTCTACAGCACCAGATCTTCACTTTTTAAAAGCATTATGACATAATTGATGTATTTTTACAGTGTGTTCCTTGGTATCTTACTACATAATACTGGATGATTTCCTCACTACACAGCAAGAGTTTACCTGAATGGTTACAACTTGTATTACAGTTTAAATGCTATCATATAGCTTTTATGCTTCATGAAAGGGATGTGTCTCACTCCTTAGAAGCTGGTCACAAGTTAGGCACATCACCTATCTGGATGTTAATTGTTTTTTAAGAAGAAAGACTTTTAAGCTGCCTCCTAAAGAATTTAAATTTTGGATTCAGTTCAACTGATGCCAGGTTCTTTTCAGTGTTTTCCTCTCTCCCTAGGATAAATCCTACTCTTTTTTTTTTTTTTCCCCCTCCCTTTCAGCAGCTTGAGATCCTATCCTGATTGTACTTGATTTCAGTGGGGAAGCGAAATGATGTTTTACTGTGATCTTTTATTCTGAGATGTAAACTAACGAGTCAAAGAGCTGAAACTTTGTAAATTTTAACTCAAGCTTAAAAGCGCAGTCCACTTCTCACTGACCTTCTTCCCTGATGTTCATTCTGGAGCTGGTTTTGCAATACTGTTTTTTTACCGTCACATCAGCATGACATAGGTATATGCATCCTGTTACGATTTTAAAATTCAGTACTCTAATTCGAAGGTCTACAGAGGATTTAGCGAGGAGAGACCTCACGAACAGTACACGTGAGGCAATATGAACTGTTTTGTTGAATTTCCTGCTGTATTTGAGAGACTATTGCCCAGGCTTGTACTCTGTTCAGTCCTCCGTTCCTGGGTCCTTTCTAGCACTGCTGTGTGGCATGATTATGATGCTGTATTTGAGAAACCCCCCCCCCTTCTGTATAGCTTAAGGTAACCCTGCTAAGCCTAAAGGATATGCGATCCCAGTTGTGTTTTTGCTGGTGAGGTTTTAACTAAGCAGCAGGCTTGGCTAAAAAGCATCATAAGTGTGTGAAGTCACTTTTAACTTACACCAGGTCGTTTAAGATAGAAATCCATAGCAAAATGATTCTTTTAAATCCAGGAAATTCTCCCCTTGGGGCTTGCCTCTGAGACTCCTGTAAGTTTTTAATGGTTTTCTTAGAAACCTAAGAACTTCCTTTTCTTTCTGTTTTGGTGCTAGAGAGAAGCAGAGCATGACTTTCTTTTCATCTTCTAAAAATCTGGAATCACTCTCGGTGCTTACGCTCTTAATACTCCACATGTTGTAACCTCGTATTTTCCTCGCTTTTGTACTGTTCGGCTTGATCCTGAAACTCCAGGATTTAACACAATCTGGCTGCGTTGCATCAAACCGCATCGTTTTTCAGTTCGGCTGCTGGGCATATGCACCAAAGCTATAGGAGCTGGTGCAGTTACATGGTTGTAAAATCTGTGTGTGAGAACGGGATCTGTTTTTCGGGTTACACAAAAGATAGCTGAAGCAAACAGGCGTGCAGTAAATGCAAGTTTCCTCCGAGGTGGAGATGTTTGGTTTGGGCTGTTTTCTGGTTTTCAGATCGCAGTGATTATATGTGGATCTGTTAAAATACTATTAGCAGATCAGTAACAGGCTTGCAGTTTTATTTTGGGAAGGACATGGCAAGGAAGGAGCCCAGCTCCTGTAACGCCTCCTCTTAAGTAGTTAATTGTGACTGAAGCGAGCGCAGCATCCCTATGGAGCGTGCTAGAGTCAGAATTGAGAGACACAGAATTGAGATGCATTTGAACTAGAACAACGCAGCAGTGAGCAGAGACAAGTATAAGCTGTTACTGTGGAATTCCATTGTGTTCCTTACGTGTTTATGCTGTATTATATATACATATATCTATATCTGTTCATATATACATATATGTATAAAATTACACATGGATAGTATCGCCTTTTCCAAGGTTGTTTATATTTTGTTCAATATTAAATTAACTTGCTTTTTGGGGTGCTTTTGTTCTTTTTCTAGAGGTGATTACCCTTGAATGTAAATGTATATGATTTTTAAGACGAAATTGATCCTTTTGTTTAAAAAACAGAACAAAAATGGCCTTCATCAAACAGTGCTTTTTTGGGAACTGAAGAACTAAATGTTATGCAAATAAACCAGGCTAGGTTTTGATTTAGCACAGGATGTGATGATAAGTGCTGACATACAATTTTTTAATAATGCATCCTTCCATTGTTTTAAATAGATATATCGAAAAGCTATTAAAGTACAATGTACTGTAAGTACTCTATTTTGCAACATAAATTATGTATTTCTTTCTTTCCTACAATTTTTTTTCTTTTCACAGTAGTTAAGCACTTTAAGACCCAATGATCTCTTATCCTGTGGAAATGCTGGGAAGATTTATCATCAGAGTTTTGTAGTTCTTGCAAAAGACGCCTGCTTTAGGTGAAGGTGTAAGAGATGCCTTAAATGAGGTCTGATCCAGCCCAACAGAGTCAACAACTAAATCCCCAGTGATGTGGGAAGAAGGACAAAGCCCGTTGCAGTTGAGACTGCAGAGGTAGGAAGGTGTTAGTGCTGAGGACCATTGCATTGGTATTTTTGGGGGGAGTAGTAGTCCTGCACCCTGTCTGGTGAAGTGTTGGTCCAGAGCTGGCATGGAGGGTGGTGGCTTTGCCCCGCTTTGCGCTGCTGGAGTCACCCGCTCCAGGACAAGGTCGTACCTTGTAGTGCAGGAGATGGTACTGTCCCTCAAGAAGAGGTTTCCAGCCTGTTGGTTAGTTGGGATTATACTTTGTCACTTCCTGCATGTTATAAAATGTCTTGGTTAATGTGAGTTTTAAGCAGGACTAGGGAGATCCTGGGGGAGCACATGCAAGGGAGGTTTTCTGTGCAGCAAAACCGTGTGAGGAAGAACTGTCCCTGTTGCTCCCAAACCAGATGTTAGTGTGTCCCTTTGAGGGATCTTCTGCATTCAGCAGAGGTCTGCCAGAGCAGGACTGAGCCTTTGTTGTGTGGCGGATATGAGTTGCACAGGTGTCTTTGAGATGAATGTAAATGTATATGAAATATGGGGATCTGAGCGATGAGATACCACAGTTGTTGAGCGTTGATGCCAGCAATTTCTTCTCATTTGGAGTGGTTGGGATTGGTTGTGCTTGTTTCTGGCGGAAGCACGTTCTTTTGCCCTGTTTTAAGGCAGCTTCCTGTGATTCCTCTTGAGCATGCAATGTGCAAAGCTGTTGGGTCTCGCCCTTCGCATTGCAGTTGCACCCCCCGCCCCACCCCTTTGTTTTCAATTACTGCTTTTTATTCAGAACAAAGTAGTATTAGTAACTACCCAGAACTGCTTAATTTTTATAAACTCAGTTAACTTGTTTGTTAATGAAATAATGCATTCAAAGCACCAAGTAAAGCTTTGAAAATCAACTCGCTTCATTATATTAGAATGGAAAATGCATTCTCTACTTACTAGTGGCATTTGGGCACAGGCTATGGAAATACTCTCTGAGCGGGATGGGGTAGTAGTGCTTTAGCCCTGGAGCACCGTACGTCTGAGCCTGCGTGGCAAACTACGGAGAATTCACAAACTCTGAGCCCGGGGGTCCCAACCCTTATTCCCTACCAGGAAAAGTGGGTTGTGTTTCTGCTGTGTGTGTCTGTGTGTAAGACAGGCTGTTTTGTTGCTGACATGATGCTCAACTTTTGACGAGGCAATAATAGAGTATAAATAAATAATCAGCCAGATTAGGACACTGCCTTGAATTGCCTGTTTACTTGAGTACCAGAACCCTGTAAAGACTTTCTGTGTGCCCCTCACGGTTCTCCGGGCCGCTCCTTCGGAAGGGGAAGAGAGATCTTCATGTGGTTTTTACTTGGATGTTCTGCACAGTAGAAGTTCAGGTGTTTAATTTTAGAACATGAAGTGCCTGCTGTTTGCATTAACAAAATTGCATGTCTCACTCCAGTGGGTTTATTGGTCTCCCTCCCTCCCCCACCTTTCTAGCTACATGGCTTTTAATCATGTAAAGTGGAGACATTAGTTTTGCTGCGTTTTATTACAAAACCTTTGTTGCAATAAAGATGCTGCTAAATAAATTGAATTAAATGGTTTTTTTCCCCTCTATTTTCAACTGTCTGTCGTCTTGATTTAGTGAAGTTTGTGTGTAATTAAATCTCTTCCCTCGTTGCGCTGTGGAAAGCAGCAATGATGGGAAATGTGCGTGTGTGTTTCATATACATGTTGGGTGTTTAGCAAAAGCATCTGCGAATTTTATTTTTTTTTCCCTGCCTCTTGTGGTTAGGTGGGTTGATACAAACAGGAAGAAGAGGCATTTGCTTGGCATAACGACGTTCCCCCCTCCTAAACGTTTCCCTGTGAATGCTGTTCACGGCCCTCGGCAGCCACCAGCCGGAGCTGTCGCACCGGGTACGGCACACCGTGGCTTTGCTGGCCGAGATGGGCCAAGCGCCGTGGGGAGGAGGTGGCCCTGGCGCCCAGGCAGAAGGACAGAGGGACCTGTGTGTGGTGGATGGCCTCTGCCAGGAGAAGAGATGTCTCTTCGTACCATCACCTCACGGATGTCCATGAGCAGTAGGGCTTTGCAGGCACCCCGGTTCCACTTAGTGCTGCCCCAAAAGGGCTGGCGGGGCTCACGGCAGTCATGATTTGTGGTTTTACTCATACGTTCCTGATTTTTCACCCATGGGGAAGCACCCTCTGGTTTGGTGGCTTTCTGAAACAAGCTGGTAACTATTGGTGTGTTGATACCTCGCACTGTGTCTCCCTCTGGGGTTTGTGTAGGCCGTACCATAACCTGGCAAAGCCTTCAGCAGCCCTTGTGCAACGCAAGCCGGGACACAAGTGTCACACCGGCACCTGGCCGTGGGCTTTTGGCTTGTGGCTGGTGGGTGGGACCTGCTGGTGCATTTGAACTGGATGTGTAGTTGTGTCTTTGTCACTGGAGAGCAGGGAGGGAG